ATCAGACAGACAGTATGGTTTTCGATCTGGAAGATCCTGTGTATCGAATTTACTCAGTTTCTATGATCGAGCCACAGAGATATTACAGGAAAGAGATGGTTGGGTTGACTGCATCTATCTGGACCTAAAAAAGGCTTTCGACAGAGTTCCACATAAGAGGTTGTTCTGGAAACTGGAAAATATTGGAGGGGTGACAGGTAAGCTTCTAACATGGATGATAAATTTTCTGACTGATAGAAAAATGAGGGCAGTAATCAGAGGCAATGTATCGGAATGGAGAAATGTCACAAGTGGAGTACCACAGGGTTCAGTTCTTGCACCAGTGATGTTTATTGTCTACATAAATGATCTACCAGTTGGTATACGCCTCTCCTGTCAGTTGACGGTTGCGCAGTTTCCTGAGCCTTCTGGGCTCTGTCTTCTTGTTTGCTCTTGTGGGTGGCGTCTGCCTCCTCCACATGGCATTTTGGTGCTTTTGGCTTCCTTTCCCTCTGCCATTACTCGGGTTCTTTTTAGTGTTTGTGGCTCCTTTGGGTGCTCACTACCTCCTGTGTCCCCTTGTGCGTACCTGCATACAGACATAAGTACAATGGCCCTGCGGAGGGCCTCTTAGCCTGTGCGAGGCAGCTACTAATTTACATTAAATTTTGCTCCGAGGGGCGAGTTTATTGGGCAGCGCCACTCATCTTGTGAGTGGACACACCGCCATAGCAGCATGTACAACACTCCCCGATAGGAGGAATACCTGCTGGGTTGTTCATCCTGTCACTTGTACCCAGACACAGCTGGGATTTGCTTAACTGTCTCAAGTGAACAGCTCCTCAAACAAGAAGATTAACATACGTTCCCACTCACTTACATGTCCAACCCGCCCTTGCACCAATAGTGGGGCCCCACCACCACGTTACGTGGTACTTGGTTCCACACATCACCGGGCCTGTTACTGTGCCGCACGGGTGGCGTGTGCCACTATCCCAGTTTCTATTGTTTCGTGGAGATTGGTCAATTAACACAAACACCAAGGAACTACTTATCTTTTGTTGTATATACAGTAGTTGTGGGTGATCGTTGGCGGGCAATGGTGCGGGTTGGGCGCACTGAGTGTTGGTACGGTGTCTCGCATGTCTGTTCTAGACCACACTTGCCGGTAGACTAGTTATTATTCGCTACTCTGCTGGTTATATGCTTGGGCGCCGCCCTCAGTTCCCCATGGGTTGGCAGGACTTTTTGTTGGACGTACGGAACGGTTTGAGTTCCGTCATTGGTACTTTGTAGAGCTTTGCTTCTCTCGTTAGGCTTATGCATTTGGAGCGAGTATCTTCTTGGGATACTCTACTACTTCCGCCACCCTTGTTCACTGTTCCATCCTTGTTTACTCTTCCCCGCTTGGCGGGATTGCGTCGATGGCTCCTGACTGGGGTGTTGGGTGTGGTGTTTGGTCACCTTGCGTGCGTCTTTAGTGCCTTTTGTCCATCTTTTGTTCTTTGTTGTCTTGTGGGGCTCTGCCCCGCATTTCGGTGTTTTTGTTTTCGTTGTAGACCCCTGGGTCTTTTCCCTGTTTGGACACTTTCCTTGCCTATCTTCGGTGCCTGACTGCACCCTCACATAGCCGAGGGAGAAATCATCTCAAGAACCTCAAGATAACCCTGCTGTCCGTAAGGTCCCTCAGGTATGTACGCGCTCCTCTACACATTTTGTGCTTGGTCGTGTGCATTACTTCCCGGCCGCTCTTTAGGCCGTATTCGTCGTTTTCCTTACCCAAGGCAGCTTTTCCTCCCCCATGCTACACTTTTTTGTGTATCTGAGTCAGTGCCTCTTGATTATCCTGTTTGGTGCTCCGGTGGCCCTCTGTCCATGTTCCACGTCCTGCTTTTGGACTTCTCCGGTGTTCCATTTTGGTACAGAGTTCCTGCGATTTGTGTGGTTTTCTGCAGGCTTCGGGTTGCGCTGTCTGTGGGGGGAAGGGGGTGTGGACTTTTCGGTCTGCCGCTCCTACCTTCCTGGTTCCTTTTCTTGGAACCGGGTTTGCTGGGTTCCAGTCCTGGTTTCGGTTTTTCTTTGTTCCTTTTCCGGACCAGGTGTGTTTGTTTTCCTGCGGTTCTCGTCCTCGGTGGTTCTCCTCTTGGATGCCTCGGGGATGCGTGTATCATTCTTCTCTGCTGAGGCTGGTTCTGTTGCTCCTTTGGGTTGCAGGGTCGCTGTTTTTAGATTCGCGTTTTGCGCTTTTGATCGTGGTGTTCGTTTCTCGTCGTTTGTGTCGGCACAGGTGGGTTCGTTATTGGTCTCCCACCTGCACGATTCGTCTCGGGGGTGGTGTTTGGTTTTCCTATCGCTGCGAAGAGTCCTTCGGTCTTGGATAGGGTTGGTTTGTCTTCCCTTCGGGGTTGTTCTGGGACCGTTGTCTGGGATTGTCCTGTCACCTTATGTTGGGTGGTGCTGGCAGAGCTGCTCCTGCTTGCGTTCAGTGTTGCGGTTCCTTCTGCTCCATTCCACTTGCTGTCCTGGGCGTTGTTCCCTTCTGGCCTGCTCTTGAGTTTTGGGGCCGTCCTGGTCGTTGGCCTGGGTGGTCTTTTTCTTCTTGTTTTGGTCTTTGTTTTGTCTCTGGTTTTGGTTGTTCAGTTAGGACGTGTGGTATCCGTCTCCCGGTTCCTCCCTGTTTTACTTATCTTTTGGTAAGGTAGCTCCGGGGAGCCGACGGGGCTCCCCTCAGAAAACCAGCGTTGAATGTAATGAAATGCCATTTTCTGGGTGAGTCCCAGAGGCTCCCCGGCATCCCTCCCTCCCTCCGGTCGGCGGCGTTTTCGCGTATTTTGACATCCAGCCTAAGAACTGCCAGTTGGATCGGCGGCGTGGAGGGTCTGTGGCTCCCCCTTCCCCCTCTCGGGGAGGGGGGGGTTGCGCAGATGGTGGCGCGGCGACATGATGACGTCATGCTAGTTTGATAATTTTGTTTGGGGAGTTCTGTCCACTCGTTCGGCTTTCGGTAGCAATAATTTCACCAGAATAGGGGTTTGTTTTGGGGCGCCTACCTTTCTGGGTGCCTGTCCCGGTCGATGGCAGACATAAAATGCTCCCAATCGCAAGGGGGTTTCTATAGGCCATTGCTCCTCGTGCTTCTCTGAGGGGGCCAGGTTCTGGCTCGTGGTCCCTGGTAGCAAGAACTCCTAGCCCTTTGACTGATGCCAGAAAGTTATACATATCCATTCAGCCTGGATAGCTCCGAGGAGCCTCCGGTACTCACCCAGAAAATGGCGTTTCATTACATTCAACGCTGGTTTTTTGCCACAATTCCCTACCCTATTGCGGCTAAAATATGCCACCTACGATTTTTTTGTTATTTTTTCCGTGATCAAGGAACAAAAATGAACACTTCTATAAGACGAAAGAATTTTTTTTATTTTTTTTTTGTTGCGCCTGTAGGTGTGAATTCCATTTGGGCCCCTAGCGGTTTGAGGGTTAAAGTAAAATCTGCCCTCAGCATTTGTTTGATGCTAGTTCAGTCCTTCCTGACTGAGGTCACAGGTATCATTAGTGAGGTTACCTCTGGTGCACACGTGGTGCTGTTCAATTATCATTTTGAGCACTACAAAGAGCCCATCTGGCCAATAGATACTTGTAACCTATTAACCTCAAAAGGGATAATCTCATACTTATCAAGGAAAAGTCAAGGGATAAAGTACAGATGACCCAGAACAGAAATCAAGGAGCAACAATAAAGGGATAGAAAATGGCGGAAAGCATGTCAAGACACCTCATACTGTCGCTTGGAGGAAGACCGCTGGTGGGACACTATTAAACCAGCCACCTGATCACTATAGAGATGATGATACACACGCATCAAAAACACCAGACACGAAGAACAGAGGTCAAATCCATTATGTACGTCACTGGCTCTACTCTCAGAATGAGGCAGAGCCATGGAAAAACATCTATATTTGGACACTGAGCAAGCAGCACCTGAAACCAGGGCTGGGCTGGCCACTAATGATCCAGAAGGATCACCCTCCCCTTGTAGGACTCCAAATTCGCTAGAACCCGAAGCAACAACTGGACTCGGAAGGAGAGGTATAGGAATCCATATCTTGACCAGTCCAGCCAAAAGGCATCCTCTGCCAAGGCCTCACAGACGTGAAATGAAGCCGCATGCAGAGGGAGACGTTGTGACTACACAGATGTGAAGAGATCCACAGTTGCACACACTAACGTCCGGTAAAGCCAAAGGAAGGAGGCGGAATCGACAGTCCATTCTGCGGAGATGGCAACTAGCTGAGACAGACCTTTGCATCTTGATGAGGTTCTGGGAGTTCTTCTACTCCCAAAACTGGCTCTATAAAACAAGGGGGAGGGGTTGTTTATAGGGCTAGCCTTGCCTCAGGGCTAGGCAAGGCTAGCCCTGAGCACATGCAGTTCCAAGCACCTTACAGGCCTGGTCCACACAACACAAATCAGAAAACATTTATATGAAGCTAAGTACAACACAGAACAATACTAAGCAAATGGTTCCTGCAAAGTCAAAGTCCGAGGTGCTGGTCTAAGGATGGCCAGCACCTTGGGAGCCCTACAGTAGACAACCAGAGGTCTCCACACCAGTGACATTATTTACTTGGAAGACTGGAACAGATCTGGACTGGAGCTTAGGCCCCCTCTTAATGTCAGGACATGGTGCTAACAAGCTCAAGCTAGTTTTGTAAGATTTGTTATTTGCCTACATTGCTCTGGGTTTTGCAGTTTTGAGGCTTTGATTCTTTAATACAGTGAGCCAATACAGTACTCTGTATTGGCTCACTGGCTTTCTAGATGCTTCCTGGGTGGGGTGACGGTGTGCCAACTGCTTTCTGCACGTCTGAGAGGGACCAGGTTCTGGCTCTTGTCCCTGTATGCCAAACAGAATTCCACAGATACGTGACCTAATACAGTAGTTGGAAGCCATCTCTGTGAGATAACTTCGGGAAGCCACAAGGAGCTTTCCCGATAAAATAAGACAGAATTTGTTGCCTTACCTTCAAGGCCTGTGACATCTCTTTCCAGCTGCAGTTTATCCTGAGCAATTTGCAGCATGCCATCCTCTATAGTATCCTTGCTCACCAGTCTGATAATCCTCACAGGCCTATGTCAAAATCAAGAAAAACTATTTCACTAATAATTTCACATGTCATAAATTAAGAGAAACAGCAAGAAAGATTGTAGTAGAACTACAAACGTTAAGAAAAACCACAAATCTATTGTCTCAGAACCTGAATTTTATAAGAAACCACAAAAATTATCTTTGAATCTGAATTTTAAGAGAAACTAAGAAAACAATTATCTTGGAACTGGAAATTTTCTAGCTATATTTTCTCATACTTAGCAAGTCATCTGAAAAAAGCACTACACAAGACCATTATTAAAAGGGGTCCATGTCTATGAAAGAATATCTGATCAAATAATAGTCGAGTAATATACAATTTAAACTGCATGAAAAACAGAGGATGGCACCTCTCCGTCATGCAAGAATTACATGCAAAAAGAGATGTGCAGAAAATAACAAATGATCAGATACATAGCCGAGAGCAAAAAACCATTATTATTGAGAAAATTTGTATGAGCCGTGATGAGGGTTTAAACTTTTGCGGAGGGTGTTCCCACGCAAACGCCCTAGTCAACTAGGTCATGACATAGTATAAGTATTGCAACCTGGAGTTCTGCTGAACACACAAGTATTTCCCGAGGCTTCTACTGAACAGGATTTACACAATCTCCCCCCCCCATGCAATCTGGCTCTGTCATCTAGGTATGTTCTACCTCTGATGCTCCTCTCTCAATACACAGAGTAATCACACTAACATGACTGCATCAATGAGAAAATCCATAGGAGCCGTGATGAGAGTTTGAACCTATGTGGCGGGTGTTCCCAGGCACATGTCCTAGTCAACTAGACACGACTAGCACGTGTGCGTGGGAACACCCACCGCATATGCTTGAACTCTCATCACAGTTCCTGTGGATTTTCTCATTGATGCAGTCATGTTAGTGTGATTACTCTCTCTATTATTACTATTATTATTATCAATATTATAATAAAAAACACTTATAGTCTGTTGCCAGTTGAGACTTGTGTGATCCACAAAGGAAACTGTACTTGTATTTGCTAGCTAGATTTCTGAGGAAAAATTTGTAGGATATTCTGTTTAGCTACTGGAAGAGGCTTGCCAGCTGATGTTAAATGTAACACCTGATATGCTTTGAAATCATTAAAAAAATGCTTAAATGAGGAAAGCACTCACCTAGTTTGTCCCACCCTATGGCATCGATCTTCAGCTTGTTTATCATTATATGGATTGAAATCTATGTCGTGAATAATAACTGTGTCTGCAGCAGTTAGATTAATACCCAGTCCGCCTGCCCTTGTTGACAGGAGGAAAACAAAGATGTCGTCTTCTTCCGTGAACTGATCAATTAGGTCTTGTCTGTAGAAACAACAGTACTGTATTATAAATGCAATGCATTAAGAGCAATTCAATTAATATATAAAATATAATATACTGCACAAGTTAATGATGATATCTTCAATTAGCAACTTCAGTTATTTCATACCACTTATTTTCTTAAAAAATACGGTAATGAGGAGGCAAGTAAATTTAGCGGAGGACAAAAACTATCAACAAGTACCCTACCCTAGTAAGGCAGACACTGTACTCATACATACAACATGATGTTCCAGATAAAATACAGCAAAAATGTTATCCCCAAGATGATTTTTGAGTAAAGAAGAGCAAAGTTGCCCAAATATGCACCTACAAAATATTTGTCAATTATATAAATAGTATAACAAAAAAATCTAATTAAACTCTAAATGCCCCAAATAAAGCTAAGACTTCATCTATGATTACTAACCATACAAAAATTGTATTTGAAGAAAAATAGTTCAAGAATTCTGCCCGAAACGCTGCGCGTACTGGTGGCTTTACAAGAATGTAATTACTATGCTATGTATCCTCACAGTCCCAATGTACCTTCTTGTATATAAATAAATAAATAAATATCACAGGACCCCAACACCTCTGACCAGTAGAAACTACATCACAGTCCATAGCAGGATGCCAAGGTAATAACACTTGAAAACAGAGAACAAACACCTAGAATGCGATAGACAAAATGTTAAGAATGCACTAAAACCAGCATAGAATGTAATGAAATGCCAATTTCTGGGTGAGCCCCTGGTTGCTCCTTGGAGCTATGTGTAGAGATGGCTACCATCTACTGGGTCACATCGGCTGTAGAGCTTTAGAGGTCTACCAGGGACAGGAGACAGAATCCAGCCCCCCTTTCACAGAAGTGCAGGAGGCGGTGACATTTATTTTCACTGCCTCATCGAGAAAGGCAACCAGAAAGTCAGTGAGTAAAAACAAACTACTACTGGATTCAAGAGCAGACTGAAGCCACAAAACCAGCTGAAAGAACTTCCCCTATTATATAAACAAATGACTTAATTCTCTCAGAATTAACATGAGCTCGTTTGCCTGCCTCCCCTACTCTAACTGGGAAAGGGAAGAGGTAGATCACTGCCTGCCTGGGCCTGAACTCCCAGTCCTAGGGCAGATACAGGCAGCTACCTGATGACGTGGAAGGGAGGGAGGGGATCAGGAAGCCACCAGGCATCACCCAGAAATTGGCATTTCATTACAGTCAATGTTGGTTTCTGGGAGGAGCTGCTTGCAGCTGCCTAAAGCTAAATAACAACACAGAGAGAAGAAAACATAGTAACTTACCAGGAAGGAGGGAGCACCACAAGAATCAGGACAAGGATGAGATTGTAAGCTGATAGACATCACCCACAAGGCATCCACCGAAACAGAATCGGAACATAAAGGTAGCGGCAAAGAGCTGCCACTACACACAACATATGATGCATCCCAGACAAAGAAACCAAGCATCAACAACCAAGAAGCTCCTCTGGAAGCCACCGACTGTCTTCACCAGAAAAGAAGGAACCAGCTGCAAACGAACATAATGCCTACCAGGCATTATGCTCCTTTTTTCCAGGGGGGGAAAAAAAAACCTGCCTCTGGAAGAGAGAGCAGGAAGCTCCCCAATCTGACAATTGGAGGCAAGAGAAACAAAATTCAAAGCCTAAGAAAAACATATCCCGGACTAAAGAGGACACTATGAAATGATAAGAGGAAAGAAAATCAAGCACACAGTCTAATAACCAGGCAGGTCTGAGGTGAAATAAGTCATGAAACAGATTGTGAAATAGCACCAAGATAGTATCAACACTGAACACAAGCTGTAGAATCTCCACCAGCGCAGCACACCACTAGGTGACAGTATTTGGCATGAGATGCAAATAAAGAAAGAGCCAAGAAAGAAAGGAGAGCACCCCACACACAAAAACCGAAGACCAATGCCAAAGAGAAAGAAGAAAAGAGCACCATGAAATTTCATACTGTTGCCAAGAAGAATGCAGGTTGGACATCATCAAAGAAGCCACCCACTCACCTTAAAGATGGTGATGGAGACTTGCAAAAAAATTCCAAATGTGAAGAGCTGAAGAGAAGTTCAACCAGTTAAGTATGTTACCAAGCCGACCTTCCACTAGAAGCAGAGCTGCGGAAAAAGGCCTGGGTTTGGACACCAAGTAGAAGCAATGTTTCAAACCAAGGCAGAGCTGGTCACCAAGGAGCAAGAAGCATCACTCTCTCCTGGTAGGACTCCAATCTGACCAGGACCCGGAGCAACAGCAGGACCGGGGAAAAGGAGTAACAGAAACCCCCACATCGACCAGTCCAGCCAAAAGGCATCCATTGCGAGGGCCTTGCTATCAGGGAATGGAGATGCGTACAGACCATCTGCAAGAGCGTTACACACTCCTGGACATGAACAATGCGGACAGCCAAATCCTGAGAACCCAGAGCATGAGCTATTCAAAGCTTCCAGCTCCAAAGAGACAGAGATTGAAGAGCCTTTCTTCCTTTCCCCAGTTGAGACAATGAACAGCAGAAAAGTCCAAATTGAACTGGAGCACGAAGCCTGTGGGAATCCGAATCCTCCTCAGCATATGCAATATAACCACACACTCCTAAACTGTAATAACCTTGAGATGTTATCTCGAGATGATTTCGGGGCTTTAGTGTCCCCGCAGCCCGGTCCTCGACCAGGCCTCCACCCCAGGAAGCAGCCCGTGACAGCTAACACCCAGGTACCTATTTTCCTGCTAGGTAACAGCAGCATAGGGGTGAAAGAAACTGCCCATTGTTTCTCGCCGGCGCCCGGGATCAAACCCGGGGTCACAGGATCACAAGTACAGTGTGCTGTCCGCTCGGCCGACCGACTCCCTCACCCTAAGTGTAGTTACAAGATAAGAGCTGCGCTCATGGTGTCCCATCTTCCAAGTATTCTTTGTCATATAACGCTTTGAAACTACTGACGGTTTTGGCCTCCACCACCTTCTCACTTGGCTTGTTCCAACCATCTATCACTCTGTTTGCAAAAGAAAACTTTATAATATTTTTTTGGTACCTTTGTTTACTTAGCTTGAATCTGCATCCTCTTGTTCCTGAAGTTGCTGGTTTCAGGAATTCCTCTTTGTCAATTTGGTCGATTCCTGTTAGTATTTTGTATTTATCACCTCTTTCTCTTCTATCTTTCAGTTTTGGCATGTTTAACGCCTCGAGTCTCTCCTCATAACTCATGTTTCTCTGTTTCGGAAGCCAAATTGTTGCGTGCCGTTACACCTTTTATAGTTTCCTTACGTGCTTCAAGAAGATTTGGGCACCACACAACTGCTGCATATTCCAATCACAAAAGTCATGAATATTTTCATTAGTATTTCACCATTAATATAATTAAAAGCAAGTCTGAAGTTGGAAAGCGACGCATACACTCTTTTCACAATGTTCTTTATATGATCCTCTGGCGACAGCTTACTATCTAAAACTACCCCTAAGTCTTGCGGATATTGTGGATAATTCACGGCCCTTGTGGATTTATTCACCCCTAAGTCTTGTTCTTTGTTAGAGATCTGTAATTCCTTTCCACATAATTTGTAAGTTGTGTGTGGTCTATTTTCTCCAATTCCACATTCCACGACATTGCATTTATTCACATTTAATTCCATTTGCCACTTGATGCTTCAAACACTTAATTTATCTAAGATCGATTTGATAGGCATTACCCTTCATGAAGGTCATGAAGATGCAAGAGCGTCTCCTATCTTTCCTTGAATCTTAGCATCATCCTCAATCATGTTCATATAATTTTTTATTCCTTCTGGTAGATCGGTTATGTAGATAATGAACATCAATGGTCCAAGAACTGAGCCCTGTGGTACTCCACTAGTAACACTCCTCCAGTCAGATACATTGTCTCTGATTACTGCCATCTGACAGACAGAAAATTTTTCATCCATATCAGAACTCTCCCTGTCACCCCTCCAACATGTTCCAGTTTCCAGAACAGCCTCTTGTGTGGGACTCTGTCAAAAGCCATTTTTAGGTCCAGAATGACACAGTCAACCCAACCATCTCTTTCCTGAAGAATCTGTGTGGCTCTATCATAAAACCAGCATTGAATGTAATGAAAGGCCATTTTTTGGACAAGCCCCAGAGGCTCCCTAGAGCTTATCAGGCTGATATACGCTATATTAGTCTGGCGCTTCAGTCAATAGAATCCTGCTTACCAGGAACCACGAACCAGAACCAGGCCCCCCTCAGAGAGGCACAGGGAGCACTGGCCAAAGGAAACCCCCCCCCCTTGTATTGGGGGTGCTCCATGCTGCCATCAACTAGGGTTAGGTACCCAGAAAGGTAGGCATTACAAAACAAACTCCACTTGGTAGGAAACTGCAACCCAAGACGGAGCAGAGAAACCGAACTCCAAAAAAAAAAAAAGCAAACGTCATCCACCACCACCGTGCTGCTTGTCTGTGCAGTTCCTCCTCTTCCCCCCCCCTCCCCCAGGAAGTGGGGAAACCCCAAACCCCCGCTCTTCAGTTCGAGGATTGAGCATCAAAACCGAAAACCGCCAACTGGAGGGTGGGAGAGTTTCAGGGAACTTCCGGGGCTCACTCATAAAATGGAGTTTCATTACATTCAATGCTGATTTTCTGTGGGAGCCCCTTTGGCTCCCTGGAGCTGCATAAACAAAAATAAGTAAAAGAGGGACTTACCCAGGAGGCAGCCACACCACGTGAATCAACTCGAAGACAAGACAACTGGCTGCAACGTGTGACCCAAAGTCACACATAAATGAATGGGACCAGCAACATTCATGAAATAACAGGCGGCCAAGATCCTGTTCGACCTCCAAAACCCCCGTGCCCGAATGTCAGCCCAAGACATGTTCCCAAACATAACAGCCAAAGCAGCACACTGTACTTACGAACATCATAGGCATGAGGGTAGATTGCAGGCTGGCTAGACTTAATAATCCTGTGGACAACCTGAGAGACCTCAACCCTGGAACAGGGAATGAGGGAAATCGGATCAACCCAAAGCTCGTCCACGGCCACAAAAGCAGAGGCGCACAGGTAACGCCACAAAGCCGCAACCGGGCACAACTCATGATGCACCCCCAGCCTGACCAACAAAACATCAATAACCAAAGGGCCCCTCCAGAAGACTTGTTCTTCACCAGAAAAGAAGGAGACAGCTGCAACAGAACAAACTGACCACCAGGGAAATGAACAAGGGAATGGACTGTGGACTCTCCCGGACACTCGACAAACCATGGACACACTGCGTTGGACACTCCCCAGATGTGAACCGCATGGAGAGCTAAACCCCGAGAATCCAGGAGAAGAGTCACCCGAAATGACCAGTCCTAAAGAGCCAAGGACTGAAGAAAATCCCTGCGGTTCAGACTATAAATTACCCAAATGCAGTCCTAATGGAGACTGATCGTAGAGCCCTGAGTGACCCGAATTCTCTGCAGTGAAAGCTAAACTGCCTCAAACTCCAGCACCACACTGTGACCCCGACGAAAAAAACGGAGCCCACCGCCACTGACCGGCCTGGTGTGCACTGGTCACAAAGCCCCAGCCAAGAGATGAGGCGTCCATGGACACATCGAGCAAGGAATCGAGGAGGCGCCAAGGCAATGAACCTGGAAAACTCGAAGAGGAAGTCACGGACGCAACGCTCACTGAGGTCGAATCCAATGGCCACGAGAGGCAAGGGGGACATCCCTGAAGAAACCAGAGCAAGCGCCAGAGCCAGATCCATCCCAGCAGGTAAAGTAGCATGGTGAACTTCAGACTCTTGCACAACTGCTCGAGCAACCACCCTGGTGACCGGGGACCCCCCTTTTCCCCCAGGAACAGCTGAAGGCGGGACTGCAGCTGCAGCAATGCCGCAGGAGGGAGATACACGGAAGCGGTTCGAGAGTCCCACACGAAGCCCAGCCAGGTCCGAACCTGGGATAGAACCAGATGGGACTTCCTCCAGTTCACCAGGTATCTGAATCCAGTGAGCTGGGAAAGAACCACACACCCCTGGCAAGCAGACAAGCAGATCGGCTGGGAGCCCACACCAACCAGTCGTGAAGGTAGGCCAGAACTCGAACCCATAGCAAAAGTAGATGGGCCACCATGATCTGCGTAACACAGGTGAAGATGCTAGGTGCCAGATTCAAGCCAAAAGGAAGGTAACAAAAGCGGTAAGAATGCCGCCCCACGACGAAACCTAATCAATCCCTGAACCCCGGATGAATTAGGGCATGCCATTACGCCTCCCGGAGGACCAGACACACCATCCAACACCCTGGCTCCAAAAGAAGCCGGACCTGGGACAGAGTCGGTTCCCTGAAGCTAAGTACCGACTGAAAAGGAAAAACAGGGATGTTCCAGGGAGGCAGCCGCACACCTCAACTCACAGAAGAGACTGTTGGCCGCGACAGTCTCCCCAAAGCAACACAAGCCCTCAGTGGGCCAGAGACGTTGACCAGATACCTGGCAACCAAGGTATTTTGTAGTTGGAACTACAAAAGCCCCATGTCCAAATATTGTCTCCAGATATCTTCCCAAACATATACAAAAGAGCATTGTACTTCTGCACATCATGGGTACAAGGGAAGACCTCAGGATGGCTAGACTTTATGACACCGAGGACAACCTGAGACACACAAGCTCTAGAACAGAGAACTAGGGAAACCAGATCAACCTGCAAGATGTTCACCCGCACAGAACTGGTGGCCTGCAGGTAGCGGCACAAAGCTGCTACCGTTCATAACACATGATGCACCCTTGGCCGAACCAACCAAGCATCTACAACCAAAGGACCCCTCTGGACGCCCACCTTCTCATTCTTCTACTAACTACAAATGAACTGAATAAGGAAAATGGGTGTAATTACGTAAGTGTAATTACCTAAGTGTAGTTACAGGATGAGAGCTACGCTCGTGGTGTCCCGTCTTCCCAGCACTTTTTGTCATATAACACTTTGAAACTACTGGAGGTCTTGGCCTCCACCACCTTCTCACCTAACTTGTTCCAACCATCTACTACTCTGTTTGCGAAAGTGAATTTTCTTATATTTCTTCGGCATCTGTGTTTAGCTAGTTTAAATCTATGACCTCTTGTTCTTAAAGTTCCAGGTCTCAGGAAATCTTCCCTATCGATTTTATCAATTCCTGTTACTATTTTGTATGTAGTGATCATATCACCTCTTTTTCTTCTGTCTTCTAGTTTTGGCATATTTAATGCCTCTAACCTCTCCTCGTAGCTCTTGCCCTTCAGTTCTGGGAGCCACTTAGTTGCATGTCTTTGCACCTTTTCCAGTTCGTTGATGTGCTTCTTAAGATATGGGCACCACACAACCGCTGCATATTCTAGCTTTGGCCTAACAAAAGTCGTGAACAATTTCTTTAGTATATCGTCATCCATGTATTTAAAAGCAATTCTGAAGTTAGAAAGCATGGCATAGACTCCTTGCACAATATTCTTTATGTGGTCCTCAGGTGATAGTTTTCTATCTATAACCACCCCTAGATCTCTTTCTTTATCAGAATTCTTTAAAGATTTCTCACATAATATATAGGTTGTGTGAGGTCTATGTTCTCCTATTCCACATTCCATAACATGGCATTTATTAACATTAAATTCCATTTGCCAAGTGGTGCTCCATATACTTATTTTGTCCAGGACATCTTGAAGGGCATGACAATCATCTAAGTTTCTTATCCTTCCTATTATCTTAGCATCATCAGCAAACATGTTCATATAATTCTGTATACCAACTGGTAGATCATTTATGTAGACAATAAACATCACTGGTGCAAGAACTGAACCCTGTGGTACTCCACTTGTGACATTTCTCCAGTCCGATACATTGCCTCTGATCACTGCCCTCATTTTTCTATCAGTCAGAAAATTTTTCATCCATGTTAGAAGCTTACCTGACTTTCTGGATGCTTTCCTGGTGTGGTGGCAAATTGTTACTCACCCTCTGTGCATCTGTGAGGAGCATGCTTTAGTTCTGGTCTCAGGTTTTGGTCCCCAGCAGGCCAAACACAACTCCTGCACCTGATGTGTGACCCATGTGCATGGAGCAATCTCAATGAGACAGTTTCAGGGAAATATTGGGGCTCTCCATGAAAATGGTAAAATGCTTGGTAGACCAGAATTCTTGGTGAAACAAAACCTGGTCATATCCCAATTGACCAGTCACAGTCACGTGGCGTAGTAGTGAAGCACTCGCCCGGCGCTTCGCGAGCGCTTTGGCCTGGGTTCGTATCCTAGCCAAAGAGGATTGACCGGGTGCCAATCTTTAACTGTAGCCTCTGTTCTCCTAGCAGTGAATGGGTACCTGGTTGTTAAACGATTTGGCGGGGTCGTATTCTGAGGAAAAGATTGGAATTAAGGACCAGCCCAAAATGCTATGCCTGCTAGTGCTTTACAAGAATATAAGAACTTTTGTATATATATAAATAAAAAAAATAAAAAATCAGTTTGAGTGAACTTATGCTGTAATTTACTGTATCCACATGCGGGTACAATGCTTGACTAATTACAACCTACCTCTCAGCTACTTGTGTAGTGCCATCAAATCTAAGGTATTTGTGGCCTCGAAGAATAATATACTGCTCTAGGATGTTGAGTAGTATCACAAATTGAGAAAATATCAATACCCGTGAGCCTGTGAAAAGAGAAAAGTTTTAATTATATGTTAGACTTTATTCTATATAAAGAAACATGCACTGCTGCATACACAACAAAATAAATTCCACATAGAATCCAAAATGGAGATAGAAAGAAAGACTGAACAAACCAGAAATGCCAACATTAGAATACAATAAAAAAAAAAAGGCATTGAATGTAACAAAACTCCAATTACTAGGTAAACTCCAATGGCACCCTGAAGTTACTACTGTACACTGATACAGTGTCATTGTACTAGGTGCCATCAGTCACAGAGTTCTTACTAACCTACCAAGGACCACGAGCCAGAACCTAACCCCCCCCCTCTGAGGGGGGGGGGGGGCACAGGGGAAGGTGGCTTTATGAAAGTCTTTTGTGTAGTTATTCATGTCTGCCACCACCAAGGAAAGGCACCCAGAAAGTCAATGAAATAAAACAGACTACTCCTTGATTAGAAATGAGACTGCAGCCTCAAAACTACCAAAAAACTCTCCAACAATGTAAACAAACTATCAAAAATTTGTGAAACTAGTGTGTGCTAGAATGCACCCAGCACCCCACCACCCTGCCTTGTTTGGAGGGAGGAGGGAGGCAGATCAGGTCAGCCAACAGCTCCACCACCAGTTCTCATGATGATGGAAACCATCCCAATGTCCTGAGTGAGGGAGGGTGTCCGGGAGCCACCAGGGCTCACCCAGAAATTGGCGTTTCATTACAGTCAACACTGGTTTTCTGGGGGAAGCCCCTTGTGGCTCTCTGAAACTTTCTACACCATGGAGATGGAAGGAAGGGCACACACCAGGGAGAAGGAAGCACCGCATCAGATATCAAGACAAAGAGAACCTAATGGCTACATTGCATGACCCAAAGTCAAATAAAATCACAGTACCAGGAACATTCACAGGATACCTGGCTGCTGGGACCCTGTACAACCACCAAAATTCCCAATACCCAATTAATGGGCCAAGACATATGAGCAAAGAGCACAGAAAGATCGGGCTACATAAGCATATCAACAGCAAAAGAATAGATCGCAGGCGGCCTAGGGTATAAGACACTGCAGATGACCTGAGAAACACGAGCCCAGGAATAGAAAACCAGGGAAACCAGAGCGAACCACAAAGAAACCATCGAAACAGAACCGGTGACATGAAAGTAGCAGCATAAAACCTTCACCAGACAATGCACTCCTGGCAGAAACAACCAAGCGTCCACCATCAGAAAGCCCCACCAGATGCCAACCGCCTCATTCCCAGCCAGAAAAGGAGCCAGCAGCAACCTAAAAAGGCACCCACTAGGGCCAAAAGAAGAAGAAGAAAAAAAGGCCACCAAAGGTACTCAAAAAGCACCCACCCCTGGTAACCAAAAGCCAGAGAAAACAAAAGAATGCTTGCCGTGACAGGCAAGGATCAAAGGGGCCACCAGAGTGAACAAAATAAGAAAGAATCTAGTAAGGGGACCAGGGGCTAGATTCACGAAGAAGTTACGCAAACACTGTAACCCCGTGATTATCCGGGATTCGAACATCCGAAAAACGCCCTTATACGGCCAAAATCGTGAACGGATAAAGTTATCACAATATCCGGCCAAAATAGCCACAGGGACCGGATTAAAGCAGGTTTTCTGCAGAAATTACACTATCCGGTCAGTCCCCCTGATAATCGTGCCTTTGTCCGTATATGAAAACATGAGGCGGGCCATATGGTATTAAACCCGTCTGCCCGAGACTCGAGGCGCATGGTGTAGGTGGGGGTGGGGTGGGTGGGTGGTGTTGGGAGGGTGGGAGGGGTGCGTCAGGAGGGACTACCTGGGTACAGGAATTACCATTAATTTTAGAACAATTAATCATAGCCAAAAACAAATAAAATAACTACTAGTAATTATGTAATAACAAATAAATAAGTTTCCTAAAAGCATTGTGCACAGGCTGAAGTTTCCTTCAAAAATATTGTGAATTTTTTTCCTCCTGGCGGCCTACGTAACGCTATGGCTGCCCCAAGTGGACCTGTCCAACACTGGTCAACCCATGTGCGTCCGTCCCTCGTGTTATACACAGTGCTGCGCCATTAGTGAAATATTTTTTTAAATAACTTTCTTAATTTTCATAGTAATTTTGAACATTTTTGGCCAAGAATATGTCTGGTAGCAGCATCAATCGTTCTGGAAGTGTTAAGAGGAAGAAGATTGTCCTAGCAATTAAAGACAAGTTACGTGTTGTTCAAACAGTGAGGCGTCACAGGCAGCCAAGCGCCTTCAACAAGTGAGGCGCCACAGGCAAGCCAAGCTCCTTCAACAAGTGAGGCATCACAGGCAAGCCAAGCTCCTTCAACAAGTGAGGCATTATAGGCAAACCAAGCGCTTTCAACAAGTGACGCGCCACAGGCAAGCCAAGCGCTTTCAACAAGTGAGGCGCAAGCAAGCGCCTTTAACAAGTGAGGCGTCACAGGCAAGCCAAGCGCCTTCAACAAGTAATTACCTAAGTGTAATTACCTAAGTGTAGTTACAGGATGAGAGCTACGCTCGTGGTGTCCCGTCTTCCCAGCACTCTTTGTCATATAACGCTTTGAAACTACTGACGGTCTTGGCCTCCACCACCTTCTCACTTAACTTGTTCCAACCGTCTACCACTCTATTTGCGAAGGTGAATTTTCTTATATTTCTTCGGCATCTGTGTTTAGCTAGTTTAAATCTATGACCTCTTGTTCTTGAAGTTCCAGGTCTCAGGAAGTCTTCCCTGTCGATTTTGTCAATTCCTGTTACTATTTTGTATGTAGTGATCATATCACCTCTTTTTCTTCTGTCTTCTAGTTTTGGCATATTTAATGCTTCTAACCTCTCCTCGTAGCTCTTGCCCTTCAGTTCTGGGAGCCACTTAGTAGCATGTCTTTGCACCTTTTCCAGTTTGTTGATGTGCTTCTTAAGATATGGGCACCACACAACAGCTGCATATTCTAGCTTTGGCCTAACAAAAGTCATGAACAATTTCTTTAGTATATCGCCATCCATGTATTTAAATGCAATTCTGAAGTTAGAAAGCATAGCATAGGCTCCTTGCACAATATTCTTTATGTGGTCCTCAGGTGATAGTTTTCTATCTAGAACCACTCCTAGATCTCTTTCTTTATCAGAATTCTTTAAAGATTTCTCACATAATATATAGGTTGTGTGGGGTCTATGTTCTCTTATTCCACATTCCATAACATGACATTTATTAACATTAAATTCCATTTGCCAAGTGGTGCTCCATATACTTATTTTGTCCAGGTCTTTTTGAAGGGCATGACAGTCATCTAAATTTCTTATCCTTCCTATTATCTTAGCATCATCAGCAAACATGTTCATATAATTCTGTATACCAACTGGTAGATCATTTATGTACACAATAAACATCACTGGTGCAAGAACTGAACCCTGTGGTACTCCACTTGTGACATTTCTCCATTCTGATACATTGCCTCTGATTACTGCCCTCATTTTTCTATCAGTCAGAAAATTTTTCATCCATGATAGAAGCTTACCTGTCACCCCTCCAATATTTTCCAGTTTCCAGAACAACCTCTTATGTGGAACTCTGTCGAAAGCCTTTTTTAGGTCCAGATAGATGCAGTCAACCCAACCATCTCTTTCCTGTAATATCTCTGTGGCTCGATCATAGAAACTGAGTAAATTCGATACACAGGATCTTCCAGATCGAAAACCATACTGTCTGTCTGATATTATATCATTTCTCTCTAGGTGTTCTACCCATTTAGTTTTGATTAGTTTTTCCAATACTTTCACTATTACACTTGTCAATGATACAGGTCTATAATTGAGGGGGTCTTCCCTGCTGCCACTTTTGTAGATTGGAACTATGTTAGCCTGTTTCCACCCGTCTGCTACGATTCCTGTACACAGGGATGCCTGAAAGATCAGGTGAAGTGGAATGCTGAGCTCAGATGCACATTCTCTCAGAACCCATGGTGAAACGCCATCTGGGCCAGCTGCTTTGTTCTTACCGAGCTCCTTGAGCATTTTTTCCACTTCGTCTCTAGACACCTCTATGTGTTCTATGTTGTTCTCTGGAATTCTTATTGTATCTGGTTCCCTAAAGATTTCATTTTGTACAAACACACTTTGGAACTTTTCGTTTAGTGTTTCACACATTTCCTTTTCATCTTCCGTGAATCTATTTCCCATTTTCAACCTCTGAATATTATCCTTTACCTGCAATTTGTTGTTTATGAATTTATAGAATAGACCTGGTTCTGTTTTACATTTGTCCGCAATCCCTTTTTCAAAATTTCTTTCTGCCTCTCTCCTCACTGCCGTGTAGTTGTTTCTCGCATCTTTGTATCGCTGGTATGTTTGGGGGTTCGGCCTCTTCCTGTATTGATTCCATTTTTGTGTCTTTCGGTCTCTAGCCCTCTCGCAATTTCTATTGAACCAATCCTGTTTCCTAGTTCTGCATCTCTGTTTTGGTATAAATTTTTTTGTGCCTTTATCATATATTTCACAAAACTTGCCATACATCTCATTCACTTCCTTGCCTAGCATCAAGTCTGTCCAATTATACTCACTAAAAAAATTTCTAAGGTCACCATAATGTCCTCTCCTGAAGTCTGGTTTTTCAACTGCTTCAACCTCCTTATTTTCTTCCAGCTTATAACGCATTGCATACTTTATTCCCAAAAAGACATGGTCACTTTTACCCAAGGGAGGAAGGTACTGAATGTCAAATATCTCTTCCTCCTTCCTGGTAAATATCAAATCTAGCATGGAGGGAACGTCCCCTTCCCTCATCCTCGTAGCTTGTTTAACATGTTGATACAAGAATGTTTCCAGGATGAGGTCTACAAATTTACAGGTCCAAAAATCTTCTGTTTTAGCTTCATATGCTTCCCAGTCTATGGATTTCAAGTTGAAGTCACCGACTATCAACAGTCGTGATCTATCGTTATCCGCTCTCGCTATAATCTCTCTCATTATTGTTATAAGACCTTCACGTTTACTATCTAG